AGTAATTGCTTTCTCTAAAATTTAATGTAAGTACTCTCTCTAAAATTTTAAAATATTCTCTCTCTCTAAAATTTAAGATTTGAGATGGTTTCTCTCTCTAAAATTTTAATATGGTCTCCCTAAGACTTTAAATTTGAGATAATTTTTCTCTCTAAAAATTTGAGATAGTTTTTCTCACTAAAAAAAATTGTATATTGTCTCTCTAAAAGACTTCGTATACTTTCTCTCGCTAAAATTTGACATAGTTCTCTCTCTAAAATTTTAATATGTTTTCTCTCTTTAAAATTTGATATAGTTTTTCCATAAAATTTTAGGGTGTGGTTTTTATAGCATTGCAATCTTAAACAATCCAATTAAGGTGCACCTCCAAATTTTATCATAACATGTAATTTTGGTGTAAGAAATTATTAGATTATATGAAATCTATTTTCATATCTACTTACAAAATTTTAAACTCCAAAAATGGTTAAAATCAAGTAGATCTATAACCATATAAAAATCTTTAAAATGGACGGTCTAGATAATGTATCGCAAGATGCACTATTTTTGGGACTCAAAATCTTTGTTTTGATCATATTCATACATCTGTATGTCGAGATGATCAACTAAAGGATTTTTCAACATTAAAACAGCCTGCTCCGATGGATTTTTGAGGTGCATCCGTATTTCTACATTTTAAAATTGCAACCTTATATAAACTTTTTCCAAAATTTTAATATTTTTTTTGTTCTTCAATAGCAAAATGAAATTGAGATTTCCAAAACTTAGGCTTAAAATGAGCATTAAGGAATCTCATGGAAATCTCAATTATAACGAAAATGTCAATTCTAAAAGACCAAACATGATTGGCCCAACTGTTTCAAGAAAAGTGACTCCTAAAAATCTGAATCCAATGAACGAAAGGGGCCTAAAGTTTTCCTTTCCCTTCTCGTTTAGTTTTACAAGTTTTTTGGATGCCGTACTTGTATTTGATAGTATTTAAAAGGAAAAAGTTTATATAGAGATGAAGCTCTAAACAATTAAATTACAGCCCACCTCAAAAACTTCACTAGAAGAGGTTGTTTTGATGCTCAAATATCCTCAAATTAATCATCTCGTTATCAAGATGCATGGACATGAGAAAATAATGGATTTCAAGATTTGGAAATAGTGCACCTTGTAACACATTTTTGGACCGTCAGTTTTTTAAATTTTAAATTTTACGTAGATTTGCTTGGTCTACACTATTTTTGAAGCATTAAATTTTAGAATTAAAGAAAAAAAAAAATATTAAAGCTATAACAAAGATTTCCAGTATTAAAACCACATTTATCGATACTATTTGAAGGTGTGCTTTACTTTGATTGTTTAGAGCCTCGGCTTTATACAAACATCACCCTATTTAAAATTGGCAACTCTTCTGCCGACAAAGTAACTACGGATACCCCTCAAAAATCTATCGGAAAAGATAATTTTAATGTTGAAAAACCTTTTGATTGTTCAACTCGACATAAAAAGATTTTAAGTCTAAAAAATAGTGCATTGTACAACAAATTATCTACACCATCCATTTTCAAGATTTTCATATGTTTATAGATCTACTTGATTTTAACCATTTTTTAAATTTAAAATTTTATAATTAGATATAAAATTAGATTTTGAGATAATCCTAAGAATATGTTACCTCAAAATTATATACCATGATAAAATTTGATGGTGCACCTTACCACTACTCTACGGATGCATCCGTAGGCAAACTGCACCCATTTTTTTTTAAAAAAAGCTTGTATTCGTTCACAGCAATCTAACATTCCTAAAAACACACAACAAGATACGGATTGAAGGAACTGATTATATGCTTCCAAATCCTTTCCCTCTTAAAAGCGACCCACCCACCACCAACTACCTTTGGCCTTCACTTGCTAGAGACTCAACCTACAATATTCTTCCACAAACCAAAATTCCCGGTTCCACCAAGCCTATCTAATTGAATTGAAATAAACAAACGTTAACCAGAACACTAACCAATTACAATAAAGGAAAGAGTTTATATAGAGGAGGCTCTAAACAATCAAATTAGAGCCACCTCAAAAAGTTTACTAGAAGAGGTTTTTTGATGTCTAAATATCCTCAAATTGATCATCTCGACATTAAGATACATAGACATAAAAAAACAAAAATATTTCAATTTTTGAAAATAGTGCATCTTATAATGCATTTTTGGACCGTCAATTTTCAAGATTTTCAAATTTTCATACATCGACTCAATCTACACTACTCAATCTACACAAAGATTTTCAGTATTAAAACCACGTCTCTTGACACTATTTAAAGGTGTGCATTACTTTTGACTATTTAGAACCTCGGCTCTATACAAACCACACCCTTACATAAAACCACCTGAGAGCAAGCATCACGGCCATTGGTTTTACCAAACAGTCATGAGTCTAAGCTCTGAATGGAACACTGCTCATGGTAACCACCATTGGCCTGGTACCCTAATAAGCCTGTTTCACAGACCAACCAAGCAATTTGAAGACGGCTTGGGTTAACAACCCGCAAACACGAAACTCTGGTTAGACCACAGACCAGATCCACCATCACGAACCTCGAAACCAACTAGACCAATCAACAGACCAACTTAAACCAGCCCAAACACCCAATTAGATCACTGATTGGACGAACCACCTACATGCCCTAAACCCCAATTAGTCGTTGCTAAGACCAATGACCATATGCCTACATACCCAATTAGCCCTTGGCATGAAGATTAAAAGCCCAAGCACCCAACTCGACCACTGTCAGACCCATGACCTCCAAACCTGAACCTAACATAACCATCATGGCTTGACACAAGCTCACCTTAACACAAACGCATTAGACCACTGAACCAACAACCCACAAGCCCTAAACCTAACAAGACCATAACCCAAACACTAAAAATACTCAACCAGTTTCATGGTTCTGGTCATCATGGCCATAAACTCATCTATATCCACGTACCCATCCCCATCACTATCCAGTGCTCTCACCATCCTTTGGCATTCCTCCAAGGTGCAGTTCTCCCCTAGCCTCCCCAGCGCCTTGAACAACTCATTTGCACCGATCCTACCATTCCCATCAATGTCAAACATTCGAAAAGCACCCAAAATCTCACAAGACATCACCCCCTTCCTATGCACGTCCATGAATCCATCAAAATCAATGAAACCATCATGGTTCTTGTCTACCACATCCATCATCTTTTCTGCCTCACGCTTATGCACCTCAGCCTTAGGAGCTGAATCATCCTTATCCAAAGCCTTCAAGACCCGAACCAATTCCTCCACTGATATTTTCCCATCACTGTCTGTATCAAACTTTTCAAAGACTTTTTTCATCTCCTCCCTGTTTGGTTCAAAGACTTTCAAGTCAGATACCAGTCTATCCTTCTGCGAAAGGCATCGTGAAGTTTTGATGAATGGCCGCCAAGTCCGGTTCGATTGGGAGAAAAGGAAATTTAGGATTTTCATCCTTTGATGATCGATATGTACGATACGTCGGCGGGGAAGTAAACCAGAATAGAATGAACCCTTTAACTCTCTGATGGCTTCTTATAGCGAATTTTACCTCTATTGCTTTGCCTGTCAAGATTGAGATTCTATTCAAAAAGCACCGATGGTGGCAAAGTAACAGTCCAGCACCGAAAGGATTTATCCCTAACTTCAGACAAAATCAAAGTCATATTCCTCCACCCTAAGATTTATCCTTTAAAACAGAATCAAACTCCCAATCCACCACCTAAAGATTTATCTCCAACTTCAAACAAATTAGTAAGTCACAATATTAACCCAAGAGCCCCAGAAAAACCCAAAGAACTACTGTAAATAAAAATAGAGTTCTATAAAATGAACCAAATAATGTCAGCTGAAATCAAATATGAGTATGAGTTTGATGAGACATGAAAGAGTAAATGAAGGAAAATAATACATTCCAGAATTGTAACATGTAATATAACACGGTTAGCCAGTTGCAATATATGATTGTTAGCTTGCTGAACTACTGATGCTCAAATATGCTTCATAGGCAAACATTTTATCAATTGATTTGCTCCCTAAGCAGGGTTTGTCCCAAAAAAATGATGCTCCGAAAAAGAAAGAAGCAGGGCAAAGCAAAAAAGAAGAGAAAAATGATAAAAGATGGAACAACTTTTGTGGCTGAGCTCAATGACTTAGGGTGGTTTCCCATTGTCTAGATCCTCCATTACATCAATGTCTCTCCGTGTCGTTATTTTCTGTACATATCCTGTAAAGAAAAGGCAATGAGTCAACCTACAAACTTCGGAAAGTGTATATGTATATGTGTGTATATATCTATATATATATATATATATATATATATATATATATATATATAANTAAACAACTATAGTATATATATAGTACTACTTAAGTTACGTACTAACTAACTACACTACTAATAAGTAGGTAGTAGGGAGGAG